TACAGTCACTTAAGTGAAGTGACATATATGCAAATGAAGTAAATACAGAATTGACTGACAAAGACCCATTTCAGACAGAAAACAAAGTGCTTTCTTAATTAAATATCCAAGTTACTTCTAGTGGGCAATATTTTTTATGGAGCAAGTAGTCCTTGCAGAAAGGTGCTTTGAGTTTATCCTTGAGGGTAGGTTGATTTTTACAAGGTAGAAATGTTAAGTGAGGTGGTTATTTTCAAACAGAGTTGCTGTAATGGAAAGGGTGTAGAACCAGAGCTAACCTGGGCCACAGGAAGTAGTGGGAGAGAACAGAGAGAAATGAACCAGGAACAGTAGATTAAAGCTAGAGCTTGAAGCCCTTTAAACTAAAGGCTGAAGTTAGACTTCATGTTATAGGCATTGGGGAGTTTTGAAGGATGTTATTCTAAAAAAAGAGCTATGCTTTTATTGGGGCATGGAGGCTATTTAGGAGGTTACTTCCATAGTTCAGGTGGGAAACAAGGAAGATCTGAATCAAAGACGTAACAATGAGTTGAAAGAAGAGTTATGGAGACACACTCCACAAGGGTGCGAAGTGACAAGAGAGTGACTGACTCAGAGGTACTTAAAATCTGGGGCCTCACTGACTTGGAAAATGAAATTGAACAGATAAAAGGAGGAAATGTTGAGTTATTTTGAGCGGTGAATCTTCAAGCAGTGGGGAGTCGAGAGTCCCCCCCGGGGCGGTGTTTGCCACAGTAGACCCTGCTGTTGCTTCTTTGTGACCTAGAGAGAGAGCCTCAGTTTGTTTCTAAAGATTGTTTTATTTCGAAAACTTTTCAAGCTTGAAAAATAAATAACAACCCAACAGAGGTGGTTTCATTGTTTCAAGTAACTAGCAGTCAGCACTTGATAAGAGGATGTAGCTAGCAGGAAGAGCTTTCCGCCTTCTCACTCTCCCCTCAGCACCTTGCTCCCAGGTCTGCGCCCACGCGGTCCAGCGCAGGGGCCATCAGCCACCTGTAGCTGGTGAGCACTTGACCTGCAGCCGAAAGGTGTGCAATTACAGAAACATATACCGGGTTTCAAAGACTTGGTAAAATAAAGAATGTAAAATAGTTCTTAGTGTTTTATATTGATTGATTACATGTTAAAATGATAGCATTTTGGATATTGTTTCAGGTTTCCAGAGCACCACCCATATGTTAGGTGATTTCTATGACCAGCATATATTCATTTTAACAGCTAAGATTGTTACAGTGAAAGGGAGAAGACTGTCTTTGAGTTTGGAGAAATCCTTGCACAGGGATTATGCTCACCCCTCCCAGGAGGGGCACCCTGAACATGTTCATTTCTCCAGCAACCAAAAAATATAGTCACCTGTTCAACGTTTCTGCCCAGAAAAGCCGACTTTAGAGATTCAGCACCCAAAGTTTTTACTAGGGACTGTTCACATAGGCGCACTGTGCCTTGAATATACCAAAATTCTCGACTCACAGAAGGAAAGCAGTTGTTAATATTTGGCATAAATGATATTAACACAAACTCTATGCACCATGAACTACCCTTGTCAGTCAGGGAATGGAGGAAAGCCAAGTTTCCAGATGCCAGCTAAGGGCCACCCTTGCACACAGACCCTTCTGAAGGTAGCAGCCGTGATCCTGCTGCGTTAACTTTTTGCACAAATACATTAGGTTAAATAAACTATCAGTGGCTTCCCTGATGGCTCAGAGGTAAAGAATACACCTGCTAATGCAGGATCCACAGGTTCCATCCCTGGGTCAGGAAGATTTCCCTGGAGAAGAAAATGGCAACCCACTCCAGTGTTCTTGCCTAGGAAATCACCAGGACAGAGGATCCTGGCTGGCTATAGTCCATGGGATCACAGGAGAGTCAAATATGACTTAAAGACTAAATAAGTCTTTAACAGCCAGTAGAATCAATTCCACCTGTCTCTTTTTAAAGACTAATATGGCTACTTGTTCTCATTCTTGACTCACATTATATTTATTTTGGGTAGCAGTTGTCTCAGTCTTATATGTAAAGTTCTTCTCTAATGTATTTTAGTTATTTTCTTTGTAAAACTAATGATTTCTCTTTAATACAGATCTAATAAGTAAACAGGTGACAGACCCCCTTCAAGTGATATCTTTATACTAATCATTAAAGTTCAGACTAACTGAAGGCTACGGTAGGCTTGACTCCATATCCCAAATGTAGCTTTATTACCTGAGAACAAAAAGTACCCCTCCAAAAAAATGTGTGTGATCAAAATAAAGAATTCTGTGAACTTTTATAAAACAAAAGTTTCAACTTAAAAATGCCCGCTTGATAAGCACATTTGAGAGCTTCAGTATACTTTTCACATGCTTGTCATTAATTCACATTGTTAACTCTCATTTGTTCTTCTCCAAACTGTTGTTTAGTCACTAAGTTGTATCTGACCTTTTGCCACCTCATGGACTGCAGCACGCCAGGTTTCCCTGTCCTTCACCATCTCCTGGAGTTTGCTCAAACTCATGTCCATTGAGTCAGTGATACCATCCAACCATCTCATCCTCTGTTGCCCCGTTTTCCTCCTGCCTTCTATCTTTCCCAGCATCAAGGATCTTTTCCAGTGTATCAGCTCTTCGCATCAGATGGCCAAAGTATTAGAGCTTCAGCATCAGTCCTTTCAATGAATATTCAGGATTGATTTCTTTTAGAATTGACTGGTTTGATTTCCTTGTATTTACTCTAAACTATTAATGATTTATAATTACTATGAATCCATCCATGAAAATATTTCACAGGAGAGTTATATAAATGCATTAATTCTGCATAAGAGGTTCACTTCCTATCTACTCATTGATTGTAGACTGCAAATGTGACTAAAATAGTACTTGGCCAACGTGCATAATACAGAATAGCAAACCAGGATATGTTCGACTTCTTCCCAAGCACTGAGTACTAATATATACCTTACTCTTTAAGGAAGGGAATGGTTTTAGGAACATAATTTCCAGGACTAAAACTGTGAAAGCAGCAGAAGATATTTTTGTTAGAATAAATCCATAATGTGATTTTCAGTGACATATTGCCCTACAGGGCCCCTGCAGGCTTAGCTGAAGGACAGAACTATCTCTCAGCATCATTGCCACATCTCATCAGAAGTAGAGGGAAGCTAAAATGGTAACCCCCTCCCCTCTCCTGCACCTTGACCGAGTAGTGAGGAAAGGGGAAAGGAGAAGGTCCTCAGGCTGTAAGCCGAGAGCAGTTCATAACTGGCAGTGTTTTTGCTATTATCTTTGTCCTTTATTTATGTAATTCAGCCATTTTATATAGTTTAGAATTGAAGCATGTCATTAGCAACCCATGTCAATAACTGATACTTTCATTCTTATTATGAACAGTTATGCTTGTCCAGTGAAAATCCATAAAGCTTAATACATTTGTGATTTTAAATATAACTTGCATTCCTACAAAATGAAAGCTGACAGTATCATTGCTTGCTCTGCTTTCTAATTGCTTTAAATAGTGTGGAGAGCAGTTATAAAGAACTCTATGATTAAAAAAAAAAAAAAGGCATACTTTCCACTCACTGTTCAATCAGTAAGAAACGCTGAGCAGAAAACCTGGCTTTCTGCCACTTTTGAAGCTGTGAAGAGACATCAAGGTCCTGTCACATAGTGTTCTGTTGATAAACTATAAGAACTAATAATAGTTTGACTCAGAAAATCGGGTACAATGCTCTTTATAACTTCACTCCCCTTGTCTTGAAAACAGCTTCCTTGTATCCCCACTTGTAAACTGGATAAAATAGGTAAAATAAGAGCTCAACATGTAATATGATCTAGTATATAATAGAATTGTGGTATGATAATTAAACAACAGAAAACTCCAGTTTTTAGAAATGAGGAATTTAAAAATACTATATACTCTCTAGGGCATATGTTATATGTCCTAGAGGCATATAATAAATGTTCTATGTGATACAGTTTTATGACATATATGACACAACAGAAGTGGGTGCACCTGCTAATTTTGTACTTGAATAAAATACCACCATACATCTTCATTGGCTTTTCTGTCCATCTAACAGCTTATTTCTGTATCTAATACTTATTTTCCTTGTGATAAGCTTTGAGACCATTAAGGAGTTTTAAAGAATTATACCAAATATGAAATTCAATGGCATATATTCTATATGTCTACTGCTTAAAAACTTTTTTTTTTAATTCCAAAGAGTGTTTTTTTATTTTGTCTGTGGTCATCCATTCTTCCTTCAACAGACATTTGGGTTGCTTTCACCTTTTGGCTCCTGTGCATTATATTACTGCAGTGAACAGCAAGTATCTATTTGAGTCTCTGCCTTCAGTTCTTAACAATATATACCTAGAAGTGGAATTGCTGGAGCTTATGGTAATCTATATAAATTTTTGAGAACTATTTACCATTTGCCATACTAGTTACCACAGCAGCTGCACCATTTTACATTCCTACCAGCAAAGCACAAGGGTTCAGTGTCTCCATGTCTTCACTAATATTTTCCTTTACATTTTGAAAAAAATGTTCTGTGTACTAGTTTCGTAAGACCTGTATAAAATATGGCTGACCCCTGAGAAACAGGAGTTTGAGCTGTGCAGGCCCACTTAACACACGCCTTTTTCATCAGTAAACGCTGCAGAAGCACACGCTCCATAACTGGCTCAGAGGGGCCGCCGATGGGACTTGAGCATCTGCACGTGTTGGTGTTGGCCACCGGTCCTGGAACCAGTGCCCCACAGATACCGAGGGATGACCATGTAGTCATATGTTATTACACTAAAAGCAATCTTTTGGTGCCCAACCTTGGTAAAAGTTTACATGAGTCAGCATCGGAGAATATAGGCCTTTGTCTTATTGTTTGTGCAGCACAGAGTATATTCACAGAAAAGCCTTTGAGATAGGATATTGACTTTGTAACAGCAAATGTAAAATAAATCAGGATGTTATAATCTGTTTGCTTTCTCTTCTTAGCAACAAAGTTTTCTTTTTTTCTACAGCTCCCTGTACAGGCAGCACTTTCTTTTGCCATAGCAACATGTGCATCAATAATTCTTTAGTCTGTAATGGGATTCAAAACTGTGCATACCCTTGGGATGAAAATCATTGTAAAGGTGAGTCTGCTGGTGAAGGCCAGCCCTTAAGAGGTGTGGCCATTGCCTTTCACTAAGAAAAAAAATATCTTTTTCTACAACTGTACTTGGCATAACTGCTTTGGCAGAATGAAGACATGTAAAAAAAATGTTCTCCTTAATGAATCACAGACCTTTGGGATGTGGTAAAACTGAATATTATTCTCAACAAAAGCAATTTTTATAGACTATATTTTTTACCTTAAAGTTGTCTATAAGTTTGCATGGTCATTTATATTGTAAAGATACCTTATTGTCATAATAATGTAGATTGTAACCTAAAGTATTCTTATTTTTAAAATTAAATGGAAATACTATTTAGTAAAAATCAACTGTTGGATTCAGTCTTACAGTGTTAAAACAGACTCCTTATAAGCACTGTGTTTTTTATTCCATGAATTTCCTATACTATATTTCTGTGTATACTCCGTGAAAGAGAAATGTGCCTTGTGGTAATGCTGGTTATCAAATCACTGTGTCAGTACTACAGTTATCTCCCTTTTATCCTCCCAAGAGTTCAATAAATATCTTAACTATGGAAAGTTAATGTATGATATTGCTGTCGTAAGTACTTGAGAGGAAGTATTTTCAGGTAACCATTGAAAAAACAGTGGACCATGGTGGTCAACATATCTGAGTGGGTCAGTGAAATCATTTTTCTTCTCCTTGCTTATGGCCATCAGTAGGAATACTATGGGTTAACTCAGATCTACCATAGAGCAGAAAGCTAAAATTGATAGAACAAGAGTATTTCGTTTTGACATTTTCTATATTCATGTATTACTTTGATTTGCAAACTGTGTGCTCACGTGTTATTGCTGTTGTTTAGTCATGTCGGATTCTTTGAGACCCTGTGGACTTTGGCCCACCAGGCTCCTCTGTCCATGGGATTCTCCAGGCAAGAACACTGGAGTGGGCTGTCACTTCCTTCTCCAGGGGATCTTCCTGACCCAGAGATCAAACCCGGGTCTTCTGCATTGGCAGGCAGATTGTGTACCACTGAGCCACCAGGAAGCCCATGTACTCACAGACCTTCTGAGTAAAGAACCAAGTCCTTTTCCTTTTTCTGTAGTCTGTCTAGCTGCCTTGTGATTGGTTAGTTTAACCAGAAGTCATACTAGTTTTATTTTGTTTAAAAACCTAATAATTTTAAATTACATTTCCTGTGTTGTATTTGACCCAGGTGTTCTGCTCTACCTAAAAATATTTTACCAATTTGTGACAGGAATCATGAATGAATTTTAAAAGTCTTATTGTTTTTCTTTCTCTTTCTGCAGAAAAGAAAAAAGCAGGACTGTTTGAACAAATCACTAAAACTCACGGAACAATTATTGGCATTACGTCAGGGATTGTCTTGGTCCTTCTCATTATTTCTATTTTAGTACAAGTGAAACAGCCTCGAAAAAAGGTCATGGCTTGCAAAACTGCTTTTAATAAAACTGGGTTTCAAGAAGTATTTGATCCTCCTCATTATGAACTGTTTTCCCTGAGAGACAAAGAGATGTCCACCGACCTGGCCGACCTGTCAGAGGAACTGGACAGCTACCAGAAGACGCGGCGCTCCTCGACTGCGTCACGCTGCATCCACGACCACCACTGTGGGTCGCAGGCACCCAGCGTCAAACAAAGCAGGACCAACCTCAGTTCCGTGGAACTTCCTTTCCGAAATGATTTTGCACAACCACAGCCAATGAAAACATTTAATAGCACCTTCAAAAAGAGTAGCTACACTTTCAAGCAGGCACATGAGTGCCCTGAACAGGCCCTAGAAGACCGAGTAATGGAGGAGATTCCCTGTGAAATTTATGTCAGGGGGCGAGAAGATTCTGCACAAGCATCCATATCCATTGATTTTTAATCTTCTACTGAAGGTGACATTAATTATGAAGTATGTACGTATGCGGCCTACAGAGCATCCATATTGTTTTCAACAGCCAACCCTTTTCTCCTGTCAGAACTAGAAAGACCTTCATTTCCCCTTAATGTAATGGTGGAGTTTTTATTATCTCAGGCAGTCTATATGTTAACCCAACCAAGGAACTTAGTCCATGCAGTACAAAACAAGAAATAAGCATCTACTACTCGGTGTCCCACAGACAACGCACCAGTTACATAGCATCTGGAGGGGGAGCGGCGGTGTTGCGCCAGGCTCAGCAGCAGGAAGACTGTTCTTGACTGACACAGCTCTGTCAAAATTTTGATCCCACAATAAGTTTAAACATAAGATTTTTCTTCACATTCTTTTTACTTTTTCTTTTCTCTAAATTTAATTTGTTTTAGAAGCCAGTAATGTTGCCATTTCAGTTTCTTATATAAATGGTTAATGTTTCACATATATTTCAGTATAGGCATTTGTTCTAGAATTTGTCAAAATATAACTAGCTACTGTGGTAAGTGCCAGTTAAGACACAGAATTGTGTTTCATCCATCTGTTTCTTGAGTAATTTCCATACTGCTGCCTTTTAATTACTGGATCCTTAACCTTTATTTTCTGTGACATGGTTTAGTACCTTTAAGTCATATTTTGTTTTGGTTATATTACATTAGAAAGTTTCATAATCCTAGGATATATGCACCATTGCCAGTTACAACTAAGAACTTAATTAAAATTTTTTGAAATTTCCCAGGTTTTATCACATTCAGTGATAGCCCACTTTTTCCTGTGAGTCATTTAATTCATTTTGGGGGTGGCCTATCTTCATATTTATTTCCAGTGTTACTCATTACTAGATCTGTGTTTCCTATTTTTATAAAAAGGCTATTTCACTCCCTTTGTATTGGTTTGTCCTATAGCATATGGTAACCAAGGTTGTATGAGAGTTAAAGGAAAATGCCTAAGAAACTGTATAAGCCTTTAGATTGCTTCTTACTTGGGACAATACATTTTTCTAGTTCTTACCAAGAATAACAATTTCCACTTTTTTTTAAACTGCACTTTGACCTTATTTTTCTTATGGTATGTAAACAATAATTTATAAACATGATATTAAAAAATCATTGTGTTTTTTTAGACTTTTTATATTATTTGATACTGTACAAACTTTATTAAATCAAGGTTAAAAACCTCCACGACAGATTTCTTTTCAGTGTTCGCAGTAGCGGCTTTGTATACAAATATGCTGTGATGGAACTGTACACTATAATTTATTGTAAAAATCTTGGAAATGTGTACATAAGCTTTTGTTTCCTCTTGTTATTGCATTTAGTTTATGATAAATTTTTCACTGGAATCTTGATCTAAATCACTACACAAATCTGATAATTAAAATACACATTGTTACATGATTCTTCAATCATATTATTTATGGCACTGAGATTTAAGATCTTAAAATATATGTGGAAAGGAATCCGTTTATTGAATTATGACTAATACAGGCATGACATTTAAAAGATAAATTCTCATGTTTGATATTTTTTGTAGTTAAATTTTCCATGAAATGAGAAATTAAAGTTTCACTGGAGTTCATTGACTTTTTAAAAAATCACATCTTTACATTTTCTCAGATTAGTGAAAACTGTGACCTTAAATATGACATATATATATATATATATATATAAAATACTCCTTCAAAATGCTTATTATATCACATTTTTTAAGAAGTACATACTGTCCAGAATATAGGAAAAAACTTACACATAGTATTGTCTTAAGGTTTTTTAAAACTCAGTATAATTTCCAATTTTAAAAATACAACTTGGGAAGGTAAAAAGACTTAATGAATGTAGTATTCAGTGAACTAATGAACTAGAGCCAGATTAGATAGCTAAATTCTTTCATTAGTTATGTTGAATAGGCATTTTAGTAGATAACATGCCAGACAACATTTAGTAAATTCTTAATATAATGATAACTGTGATCTCTTTCTTAATGAAAGGGAGATTATCATATTTCCTATGTAAAATTCTATTCATTAAGAAAACAAATGCATCTTTAACATCTATAGTAGTAAATAATACAATATGCTTAAGAAGCACTTGTAACTATTTTTATTTTTGAAATTTGTGTCCTACTCTCTCTTAAAAGGGCATGAAGAGGCCTACAAAATACAAAGCCGTTAATGAAGACATTTAACTTTAAAACAGCACAAAAGTACATGGTTTCAGGCCACTAAGCAAGTAAAGCTTGGACAAAAAAAATGTTTCTAAATTTTCCTGCTTCTAAAACAATTGAAATCTTTTTGTTTTTCATAGTAGAAAACTCAAACTTACCTGCAAGAGGCTAGTTTTCTCTTAAACTAAAGAGAGGAGGATCTTAATATTGGATGACATTTCCTTGTAATTTAAAGAAAATGAAAAATACACAGAGAGGCCTTAATGGTAAATACTAACCCAGTGAAGGCACATCTCAGTGTGGCCTAGAGACACTGGTTTCTCATCAGTTTACCTGCAGGGATAGAAGTAAAGAACCAGAGGATCAGTAACTACGCCAGCCTGAGATTGCCATATATTAGTCATTGAGCCGTGGGTGGCATTAGATTGCATTTATTTCTTAGTCAAACATTTGGCAGTATGCAATATGAAGAGAAGATAATGGAACTAATAAATTTTAGGCAGTATTACCAGAATAATGCTAATTGTATATATAATTTTTCATCTTTGACATCAATGGAAAAGCTGCAGATTGTTTGCTAATGTGAAAGCCATAAATTTTAGTAATTTAAGAAAAAATTTAGCCATCTTGTGCAAGTTATTGCACCCTTCAGAGACAGTAGGGTGCCCAGTGTTAAACACAGAACAAAAAGGGGAAGCTGGAGGAGTGAGCAGCGGTAGGTTCACCTCCACAGAAGTGTCTGTCAGGCTGTTGATCCCAGGTTTACCACACACGGTGTCAGCCCCAAGTGCCCTCAGACTGCAGGAACCCTACTAATCCCAGCATCTGAAGTATGTAGGAATGAAGTGTCATGTACCTTTTGTGAGGGGAAATGGTTGACAGAAAGCGAAGGACTTTTCCACGTTGCCAGTCACAAAAGAGATCAGAAACACTCCTTTGACTTGGACTTGTTAACAGCTTGTGTCAGTGTGTTTGTCACAGTTCATATGATTATTAGGCATTAAAACAACCTTCTGAATGCCTGAACATTTTTATAATGGTGCTGTTGTCTGGTGAGAATGCTTCCTTGTTTCAGGAGCGTGTCAGCTGTTGAACAGAATAGGAAAAGCCTAGTTGTGATCATAGGAACAGTTCTCAATCCGAGGAGAGTATGCTTTCTTACAAAATGGTGTCTTACAAAATGATGTTCATGAACAGAAGGAACCTTGAAATTTGGGGGTTTTTTAAGATTCAAGCAAGATAATCTGCTCCAGTTTCATTGATGAGAATACTGAAGCCCAGAGAAAAGAAGGTAGTTCCCACGTCTCGGAGCTCAGTCACCCTTCCCTGCTCTCTGCTGCCTCTCTGCTTTTGCTTGCTCTGTGTTTTAAAAGCCGCTCCAAACAGCAGCCCAGATGTTTCTTGTAAGCTTGTCAGTTATTCTGGTTTAAAATGTAATTTATTCTACATTTTTTTCAAAGCATTATATTTTACTTTTTTTTTCTGTAATACTTTGTTATTCTACAATTTTGTTGCCATGATTTCTTGGCACCTGCAAATTCTGGAAGACAATTACTCTTAATTCTTAATAAACAATGTTTGTTAACATTTTATGACCTTGACACTAGACAGAAAGAGCTTTCACTGGTTTGCTTTTGTGATCTTTTCTGAATCTAAAGGAAACGGTGTATAATCTAGAAATTAAAACACATGTGTGTGCTATTTGTTGAGTTTGGAGAATGATTTTTTGAGTTGTGCTATGACAGGTTGACCTTGGATATCTTTTTTTAGCTTTCTGCAAAGTCGGTTGTCCGTGTTTTATATACCTCTACTATTAACAAACTCATAATTCTGAATTTGCTTTTTTTAAAGCAACTTTTCCTTTTATTTCTGTGATTGCCTTAATAACTACAAAAGCCCAAGAAACTAATGACTGGGGTGCATGTTTCGTATATGCTCTCTTGAGGATATTCTTCTGAGGCAATGAGTTTTCTCTAAGAGGTGAACTTGCAGACCATGTAAGACTTCTTATATGGATTAATAACAGTATTGACTTATTACTAGAGTCGATACCTCACAGTAAAGAATTTGGTCCTTAAACTGGAAATAAAACTTGTACTTTGATTCCTAACTTGCCTCAATTTCCAAAATCTATAAAAGTGGCAAAGAATCCTAATTTCCTTCCCAGGAAAAGTTGGCGTTTCCTATCCAGTCACGCCCAAACTAATCATAGTTATGATAAAAAATAAAGTCATTACGTTTTCAAATGAATCTTCAAGTGAAGAACTAAAAAAGACTAATTTAGTCTTAGCTTGCCTGTAGGATCCAGGCTGCTGCCTCCAGTCACTGAAGTGACCATGAGGTCTTTCGTAGTGCAGTAGGCTGTCAGAACACGCTGTCTGTTGAGGTGCAGGATTGGGGTGCATTGATCATGGCCACAGCTTAGTGAGGATGGGGGTGTAGGTCTTATGAAAGGTGCACCCTGAGGAGAAAGCAAAGGAAGACAAGAACTCTTGAGTTGTGCAGTCACACAGATCAAGGAGCAAAAAGAAGAAGAAAAAAAGGGTAGTTATCACTGCAAACAGTTGCAGAGCAATGTTAGTGTTATTTAGGATCAAGAAACAGCTTTTATCTAAGAGTTGTCTCACCCTCCAAGCTTTGTCATACTCTTAACATCGGGTGCCTGCAGGTCACTGAGCTGGTACATTCCTTATTGAAATATTTGGAGTACCTGCTGTTTGCTAGAAGGAATTTCCATCAAAAATCTAGGTATTGAACCATGCTTTTCCAAATCTTATTCAATGCTTCTATTGAATCCTATTGAAATTCTATTGAAATCCTATTCTAGGATTTGTATTATGCTTTGTATTAAGTAGTATTTTTTAGAGAAGCAGTCACAGATTTTGAACCCCAAAATAGTTTTGTCAGTCTGTTATGTGTAATGCCTCAAAAGACAATTTAGCTCCGAAATTGTGCACAAGTACTTACTGCAACTAACTCAAATATATGGCCTCTGCCTTTCACATTCATTGTCTGAAAGCAACCTTGCATTCTCAGTTTTTAATATTAAAAGAAAAAAACACCTTGTGATAGGAGACTTCTAAGGTGGCTCCCATCAATCCTTGCCTCCCAGTATTTACAATCCTGTATCATCCCCTATCATTGAACGTGAGCTGGACCTAGTTACCTGCTTCTAATGAATAGAATATGGCAAGAGTGACATGTCTCTTCCAAGATTAGGTGACAGAAAGACTTCGTCTTCTGTCTTGCTTGCCCACTATTTCTGTCATGCTTTCCTTCTCTGATGGAAGCCAGTTGCCATGTTTTGAGATGCTCTGTGGAGAGGTCCATGTAACAGGAAACCGGGGTTTCCTGGCAACAGCAGAGTCCCCCAGTCTAACCACGTGCAAAGATCTGAATCCTGCCAGCAACATGTGTTGGGTCAGGAAGGGGCTCCTCCCCTCACTAAAGTCTTGAGATGACCACAGACAACACTTCGATTATAGCTTGTGTGGGACCTTGATCCACACCCAAATTACTCAGAAACCAGAGATAAATAAGTCTTGTATTAAGCTGCGAAACTTAGAAGTAATTTGTTAGGCAGCCGTAGATAATATGAAGCTGGAAAAGACAGGGGCGGTTCCCAATTTTCATTCCCGGGGTAAAAGTATTGATGAAATCTAACATGATGTTTTATGTTTGTGGGAGAACTATCAGTGCAGTGGGCACATCTTAAACCTGGCATCATGGAATGAGGAGAGCTGGTCTTCCTCTTGCATGAGTACTAGTCAGCCAGTTTAGCCTCCCAACCACCAATAAAAACACTTGGATCCATTCCCTCTCAAGTATGGCAGAAGATACTGCAATTTGATTCTGCGTTTGAGATGTAAACAAAATTACATTAAACCCTAATTCTTGAATAGTGTCCCTTTTAGATCCACTCATCAAGTCTCCTTGGAGTAAGGTGAACCTATCTTAAAATGAATAAAGGGTAAAATTCTATTCCAATTCTATACAGTAGTCCCATAATTTAATCAAAATCTTTCATATTTCCAATCATATTAACACTCAGTTTCCTAGACTGCAANGCTGAGTTTGTTTTGCCCAATGGGTTAGAATTATGTCCTAAATCCTTTTCTAATGTGAATGCGTCAGACCTTAGCCTCCAGAAATAGGGTAGTACCTGTTGCTTTGGAAGCTTGACATTTTACCCTGCTCTCTGCAGGAAAGGCACCAAATGAATCTAGTCTTCCCATCTGCCATTTTTAATTGCTAGATGGCAGACAGTGACTATGCTGCTTGAAGTTTTATGGCTTTTTTCTACAGGATTGGGAAAAGGGCCTGTCTTTCTGCTAGGAGCCTGTGGTTTAAAGTAAGCTACCACACACACGCTGTCCAAAAACTCTCCTCTCCTGCCATAGCTCCCTCCTTTCATGAGGATGCAGTGTTCAGTTTTGTCTTCCCATTACCCACAAATGCTCACAGATGTTTTAAGGAAATACTACAACATCAAACCAGGTTCTCTGAAGAAACTCCCAAAGTTTGTCCATGAAAATGACGGGACTTCTCTGATTGGTGCAGATCAGTGCTCGGCTGAGAGGTGTACAGAGCGACTGCCTTTATCAAAAGCTGTGTCTTAAAGGATATGCCAGGAAATGCTTCTGTTTAATATCTTACAAATATGTAAATATATATTTTATATATTTTAATATTTACATATATTTTACATATATGTATGTGTGTGTATATATATATAGTTTGTCATGCAACATACATCATGTGTCAGCCATGTCACACAACATGTGGGGTTCTAGTTCCCCAACCAGGGATTGAACCCACACCTACATTGGAAGCACAAAGTCCCAACCACTGGACCGCCAGTAACGTCACAATACTTCTGTTTCAGGCTGACACTTTCACCTCTCCACCCTAGAAAAACAGCTCGTTTCTCTTCCTCTCATCAGATAAGCAAAGGAAGTGATTGCACACTTTTTAATTATAGACATACATAAACCTACAATTCTAGAGCATTGATTTGTTGGACCGTAATCTACACGCTGAGCTGCATTTGGCAGCATGCCAGATGTGTAAAGTTGGAATTTAATGACAGCATTTCAGTAGGAGCCCCAGAATTTTGTACAATACCACTGTCAATACTAATGTAACAGTAGCAAGAAAACGAGTAGAGAAACAGCTTCTTTCTCAAGTTACCTTTTTTTCTCTTTCTTGGATATGGAGAAACTGAAAGCAATTAACTATTTCATGGAAACTTCATCTCATAAAGAAACTCCAGTCAAAAGCAAACCATGGTCATTGTTGCTATATTTGTGGAACTTTTATCAATCAACCAAATGTAAGTTCATTTTTGACACTTTAAAACATTAATTATACTGCCTACTTATGAAGTTTTTTCCTGAAAAAGTTATCAAGCAATTTTACCTTCTGAAAATATAGATGTCAGAAGTATTGTGAATGACATCACCGTGTGATCACATATCTGGTTCTCATGATTTTCAAATTGGAGTTCCTTTTCCTTTTAATTAGGAGAGTGATAAAATCTAATTTTGAAAAAATGTCCTTTTTTATCCCGAAGAATGGGATTTCTCAAACGCAATACTGTTAACGTTTTGGGCCACATGAGCCTTCATTATAGGGGGACCACTCTGTGTATTATAGTATGTTTAGCAGTGTCCCTGACCTAGATTCCAATAACACCACCCCCATTTGTGACAAGGTATGGCCGAGTATCCCCTGGAAGGAGGAGTCAAAATCAACTCAGGTAAGAACCACTGCTATAAAGAGACTGAAAGGCTTTTTAAAAAATAACTAAAAGCTGTTGAATTCTATGTTGAAGAAATACTTTAACTGCTCAGCCATAAAAAAGAATGAAATTTTGCCATTTGCAATGATATGGATGAACCTATCAAACTCATCATTGGTATGGAAGGTATGATGCTTCGTGAAATAAGTTAGAGAAAGACAAGTACTCTATGTTATCACTTATATGTGGAATCTAAAAAATAAAAGTGCTCAATATAACAAAACAGAAACATGCTCCCAGATATAGAGAACAAACTAGTGGTTTCCAGTGGGGAGAGGGATAGGGAAGGGGCATGACAGGTAAGGGATGAAGAGGTACAAACTACTATGTATAAAGTAAGCTACAAGCATATGTTGTACAGTACAGGGAATATAGCCAATATTTTATAATAACTTTAAGTGGAGTACAAAATTAAAAACTTTGAATCGNAGCCAACATTTTATAATAAATTTAAAATGAAGTATAGTGTATTAAAATTTTGAAATACTATGAGGTACACATAAAACTAATATTGTAAATAAACTGTGCTTCAATTTAAAAAAAGGAAAGATATTTCAGGCTTATGAAAAAATATAAAGAATAATGAGCACCAATATACCCAGAACACTGCTTAACCCCTTCCTGTTTCATTTCCTTCCTTCCCACTTCATCCCCCAGAGGTCCTAAATTTGGTGTTTATGCATACTATGTGATATATTAGTTAGGAGTTACATACTCAGGGGACTTCCTGGCTTTACAGTCGTTAGGACTCTGCTCAGCAATTGCCTGGGGCACTATTTTGATTCCTGGTTGGGGAACTAGGGCCTCACATGCTATGTGGCATGGCCAAAAGATAAATAAACAGATTTGAAGAAAGAAGATTAAGGCTTGGGGTATATACCTGGACAAAATTATAATCCAA